CCTGATTCAAAAAAAATAACAGTAAAAGTTTCTTTAATACTGTTGGTACATTTTGAAAATCGGTCCGGCTAGCTAAATAATACACACACATGTTGGTACATTAGCTCATATTAGACTAAACACGTCAAATTTACTATATCCAAAAGAGTTTCTCCCCTCTTGAACCTAAATATTTATTGAGGAAAACTTACTCATACTCGATATTTATATCAAATTAATAAATACATGGCATATCTTTCACATACACTTTTATTACTTAAGCAAGGTTGATTGACATGTTTTCTCAGCATAATTTGGCACTTCACCGTAGTAAATTCGTATAGTTTGATATAAACGCCAAATATGAATAACTTATTTTCATAACCAATCTTACTTTTAGCCGTAAGAAGTCTTTACAGAGACTTGAAATGTTGATATTCAAAATTTACATAATAAACGACTTTACCTTTGATCCTGTGCATTCCAAAACTATACCTGCTTCCTCATACCGACTACCGAGTATCCAAGGGTAGATCCAGAGTACCCGTTGCGGATTCGGATGAGCTATTAACTTTGGTTCAAATTTTATATTTGTGTTACAAAATTCATTGAATATGGAGTATAATTTATTAGAGGAACTAAAATGTCGAACCCACAAGCTTGTCTAGATCCGCCACTGCGAGTAACTATACTCATCAAGCTCAGACAGATCAAAAAAATCATCCCATGTTATTTTATTTATGAGTTTAAACCCTAATTACTTTCCAAAAATTTTTACTTTATTGACTACTAGATCACACTCTTGAATGCTCGTTAGATAAAACTTAAACTCCAAACACCCTAAGTGATTCCTATTTTATTGATCACCATGCCACACCTGAAAGATGAATACTGCTTTGGAACAAAATTATTGGTTCTTTTCTCGGAAGGGGGAGGGGGAAAGGTCAAAGCAGAGTGTTGAGCGTACTATATATTGAATGTAGTAGTGGCAAAATGGATAACAAAAACAGTTATTTACCCATATTATTCATTAAAATTATGGGTTGGATAATAAACTTTTTAAAAGTGGTTCAAATATGGATAAGAACCATATTTTTTAGGGTGAAATTCAATAATAGCCAGATTTACATGTGATAATTGAAAAATTGTCACAGTTTCAAAAGTAATCGAAATTTAGCCATTTTTCATGTAAAGATAAATTTAAACGAAAACACTATTCAAAATCTGAAAAATATTCCAGCATAATATACTAGAGTTCAAATTTTTTACATGTGAACTTCCAGTATAATATACTGGAGTTCCAGTATAATATACTGGTCTAACATAATATGCTGGAAGTTCATACACAGGTGCTCCAATCTCCAGTATATTATGTTGGAACTTTCCGTGTGCTGAAATTCCAGCATAATATGCTAGAAGTTCATACACATGTGCATCAATTTTCAGTATATTATGCTGGAACTTTATGTGTTGCAGCAAAATAGTGGCTAAGTTTCAATGACTTTGCAAACACTGGCTATTTTTCAATTACCAGTCCGAAAACTGGCTAGCCCGTGCTATTTTTACTATTATCCACTTAAAAATAGATAACCAATGAGTTTAACTTTTATATTTGCAAAGACTCAAAAAAATCCTCCCAAAAATATTATATTCAAGAAGCCATGAATAATATGAATATCTATATTATTTGCTGATTAACTCATTTTTTATCAGTATTAAATTTGGGTCGGATCAGATATTTTATCTATTTTTGCATTACTTGTTGTAACCCGTTCATACCCGACCCGACCCTTTGCCACCCCTAAATGCATGTTTCCACGTACATCTTTTGTTTTCAGAAGAGCCAGCACTTTATCAGGCTTTTTATTTTTATTTTTTTTAGGTCTCAAGTCAACTTAAGCCTCGACTATTATTGAGTTGAGAGGAATGACCCTATAAAGGACTGGTCAATAAATATTGTCCCTATTTTTGAATATATTTAAAAATTATCTTCGGACCCGCACATCTCTTCAGGAATTTATCATCGCATCGGTAGAGTGTATGCTATATTTACTTTACCTATATTGTTAACTAGTAAAGTTATCCGTGCTTCGCGCAATCTATAAAAATTTGAATTATTTTATCAAATAGATTTCTAATAACAGAAGATTACAACCAAATTATAATGCATATGTCTAATACATCAAAAGTTATAATATTAAGCAATATTATAGTTATTCATTTGAAACAGATTGGGACATCTTAATTCAATCTAAGAAATATTTGAAAAAAGTAAATACTTCATTTGAAAATAAATAGTGCAAAAGAATGGAATTTCAATAAAGTGCAAGAATATATATAACCATAAGTGAATTCAGAAAGGAATATGAACTTAAACTTCTCAAAAACCCTACTTTATTTTCCCCATTCAAATTTTAATCTTTCATGAAAGGAACCTAAACCTAAGACGACTATATCCGGCTGATATCAGTGGAAGGGGGAGTACTCTACTTCTAGTGGTTTGCTGCTTCTTCTTTTCTTTTGTGCATTTTTTATCAACCTCTCTCTCCCGACTCCCGTCACTATCAAAAAAATGAGATTAGTGATGGAGCATTAATTTCTGTCACTAAACTACGTAATTTCAGGGCTAAATAGGATTTCTGTCGCTAAATACCTAATTTCATCGCTAATCGGTTAATTCTTCGCTAATATTGCCAAGGTAAAACTATCCGTGGCAAATTCCGTTGCTAAAATCAATTTCTTGGGGTGGTATTTTATTTTCTCTTTTAAATTTATAGGAGAAATTTAATGAGATTTAAATAGCATGAGAAAAAGGATCAGTTTATTATATTTAGAGACATATCACGTCATCACTTCTATGATCTGGATTATGTTTATACATAGGCACTCACGCACGAAAGAATAGAGGATAAAATTTGACTTAGTATAAACAGTAAATTTTGATTGTGCAAAATTTTTTCTTTTAATAAAAATCAATAGTAAGAAAACTGAATTTACACATGCTAGTAAAAATTGGTCAAGAGAACTTTACATTATGATTTGCTATCTCTTCCCACCGTAAATGGTAGTAATCACAAAATCTAAAACTTTTTGCATAAGTAAATAAGATGTCGTAATCCCAACTTATTCATTAGTTTGAAGAATTTGATATACCAAGGACTAACTTCCTTCTATTTTGAATATTTTCTAAAGAATATACTTAAAGAACCTCGGCCCATGCAAAAAGTTCACAAACGTTAGTAAAAGAAGAAAGTTTTTTTTTAAAAATGTGCAGTATAGTTAAAGAAAAGCAAAATGGAGAAGATAGATCATCAAAATTATAGGAGATAAATGCATATATGTGAGAGCCAAACCTATTACCTGTAATAAATTACCGGTGTCAGTTCTAAATAAATTTGTTTAAAGAAATACTCATAGAAGTCATCAAGTCAAGTGAACAATAAGAATCCGGGAGGAGAAAAAAAACACAATATGTAAAAGTATGGTATTCGAAGATCCGTCAGCACCTATCTATTCCTCCTCTTCCATTCTCCTTCATTGTTACAATATTTGGTTAGTGTGCTTTGCGTACCTACATGTTCTCGGAACCAAGGAAAGGTATTAATAATTCTAAAAAATGAACCGTTTCTTGGTAATTGAAAGGTCAACCATTTTTTAGAAGCTAAAAGGTGTCAAAACGGTTGTTTTGTAAAGTCGCACCTTTTAATGCATTTTCATACACTTATAAACTTTTAAAAAATAAAATAAATAAACCAAAAGGGCATAAAAGGCAAAAACAATGACAAAAAAGATAAGTAGGAATCCTACTGTAAGAGAAAGCCACATCACCTTCCTTTTCCCCTGCTTTATATTAATATATAGATAGATTGTTCACAAACTTTATTCAATTGGCATGAATTTATACTTCTTCAATTGTTTATCAAACTCCAGTAGATTGACGTAACTTTGCGTTATCTGCAATCGACCTATTTGTTAAATTGTTCATCTAAGCCTACCCGATTGGTATGATTTTGTGTTTGTTCAATGTTCATCAAACTCTACCAGATTAATGTGACTTTGTGCTATCTGCATTCGATTTATCTGTTAAATTATTTATTAAAACTTACCTGATTGGCATAATTTTTTGGTGTTGTTCAACAAAATGTTCTTCCAATCTGCAATTTCAATTTTGATCAAACCACTCTCAAATTTGAAATAAAAACTCCAAATGCCAAGGCAAACTATCCCCAATCACCAATTTAATTAACTAACACCAAATCAAGAAGACCTAGTTCATCTTTTTCAACATTTACTCAGAACCAGCAATACAATTTTGAGATTTTTAAAGCAAATAACTAAATCAATGTTCAAACTAAAAATTTAAGCATAAATAATCTAACACAAAAATAATTTTAACCACTAGCTTCGAATTTCCAACACAAACAATAATTTTAAGCTTCCAAAATTGAAGAATTACAATGCTCTTTGTGAAGAAGAAGAGATGGAAAAAGAGCTAAATGAACAAATCTCTCACAAGGCAGACAAGAAAAAGAGGCAGAGTTTATTTATCAAATACCATCAATTAAGGGGACATCAGCCAAGAGCATTCTCATTGGGGACATGCCACGCAATTTTTTGACTAATATTAAATCTAAGAAATAGCGAAATTGTTCATATTTACTATGCTCAACAGTCGCTTTGTGCCATCGTAAATACGACTACATGATTTATCTTAACTAATACTCCCTCCGTTCACTTTTTACTTGTCTACTATACTAAAAATACATTTTCACTTTCACTTGTCCACTATACTAAATTAAGAGAAAGACAATCTTTTTTTCTTGTTTAACCCTTATCATTAATTACTCATTTTCAAACTTATTTTCCAAAACTTTTTGAAAGACTATCATTATTAGGGGTTATATGGTAAACTACATACTATATTTATTAGTATTTTTTAAGGGACGTGAAAAGTCCAAAGGACAAGTAAAAGTGAACGAAGGGAGTAATAACAAACTAAATAAGAGCTGAGAACTTCTATTGTTTCAGGTTACAATGATTTACTCCAATGTATAAACAATCTTCCAAAAACTGTTCATTTCACCATGAGCACAAAGTTCACCATTGTACAATATCACATTTGTTCCCAAACCACTCTCCTTCAACTCCCCAGCCAATTAAGTGAAAAGAAAAAAAGAAGAAAAGGAAAAATATAAAAAGAATACAACCTCACCCACCAAAAAATTACACACATTCACACAGATATACAAGAGACATCAAATATTGAATCACAAAATTCAACTACACACATCAACCTACAATAAATCCCCAAAAAGCTACACCAGCTAACTTTGGCTTGCCTCTACAGGAGTACCAGTTCTGGCCTGTGATATTCGATTTGCATAAATGGTCACCAATCGTAACTGCGTGCTGTTCAGCCCTTCCAAGTATGGCATAAATGCTTTGCCCAGCATGATGTATATGTCAACCAAACAGAAAACAACAGTCTGCCACCCAAGAAAAATTACGTATGTCAAAATATAGCTAAAGAGATGTANTATGTCAAAATATAGCTAGAGGAGACGTAAAACTACAACCGTGAAAATACTTTTGGTCTAGACGTGGTTTGAAAATCACATATATACAACTAAAATGAAATTCAGTACAAAAATTATTTTTAAGTGCTTCATGAGGATTCATTCCAATTTTTATTTACTAGGTTTGAATCCCTAATTCTAGTCTAGGTATGCAGGACAACCCTCAAACGGAATTGCTTTTGCTATTCTTTACACCAACCTGCAACCTATCATACATTAAGGGCAAACTGATAGGTAGAGGAGTATCCCTGCAGGCTATCTAGTTATCTCCAGTTCTCCACAATGTAAAGAAAACCAGCAAGATATGCACATAGCGACATACTACAGAAGCTACATATCATTTCCTACGCCAGCTTGCGCGCACCTCGATATTCCACCGGGTACCTGCCACTTCCCACCAGCACAGGGTACCGGCTAACTCTGCCCATCAAGGCTTGGGCAGATGGGGAAGAAATTACCTAGTGAACCTGATATCTCATGGTTCTCCTCCCAGCCACACCCTCGAGTGCATCATTTCCTACTTTCTTTTCAAACTACGATGAAGCAGATGAATAATTACTGAATATCTTTAATTCTGCTACTCCATTCGGCTTCTCTGAACACAACAGCTGAAAAACACAGGAAAACAGTGAATTTCACCTTGCGGACATCAGCACTCTGGTTTCCAAAAGCATCAAACAGGGAAGGCAAGAATGAAGGTAGCTGAGACATCAATTCCTCCTGGGAGAGCCTCCCAACAAGCTGAAAAAAGAGACAAGAAATCCACATTAGAAACCAATGATAGCATTCCGAGCTTGCATATATTAGCGAAAAACATAACTTCCTCTATGACAAAATAAGACCCCAAGGTGCAATTATACCTTGACACTAAAAACTCTTCAAACCAATAATTTTACTAATCACTACATCCTAGTAAACAAATCTTGTAAAGTCATGATGGTACCACCGCATGAGTTAGTCACATGTGCTTAGAACTAAAAGTTGCATAATAAGATGAAAACTTTAGTATAATCTGTTACATTGCTTCAAAGAACAAGGACAAAGTCATAACTGCTAGGGACGAGGTAAATGCTGAATGGCCCATGTCATTGCAAAGAAGGAAAAAAACTGAAAATTTCCTCCTTNATGAATTGATAAAAAAGAGAGCAAACTTAATGTAGCCAAGAAACACCAAATTAAGCTAGTTGGACGAATTGAAACAAACTTAATCAATGATCACCTTTGTCAACGAATTTATACAAGTTACAAGAGTCTTCTCGTCTTCGGTGACAAGCAAAGGAACAATAACCTGCAATACCAACTATAAGACAATGCAAGAACGACCAGCTCATGATCAAAGGAAAGTAGTAATTCACTCAGTACAATCCAGCACTTACACTTAAGCATCTGAACGGGTCGTACTGGGACAAAATTGTAGTTAAACAATTCTCGGCTTCATTCGCAACCTAAATGATGTTACAACACATTAAGCAAAGAGGGAAACGAAAAGTTATAATACAATATTTTCAGCCAAGCCCAAGCGGAAGTTTACTTTTGCAACATCATCCTTGGTCACGTGGAGCAGCTTTTCAATTATGATCTCAACTGAGTCCTCCATAGCATTTTTCTGGAACAACAGATTGATAATGGAAAGAGAAAAGGTAAGATATGTGTAGAAGACAACTGCTCCTCTTAATTTAGAAAAGGGAGGATCAAAGGGGATGGAATTCCACAAGTGACCACTGAAAAGACAGCCAACATACCTGATTCTTCAGCATTTCAAGAATCAGAGATAGGGCAAGTTCCCTTGTCAATGACTCAGAATCATCTAACACCTCAAGCACAGCAGTTAATATCTGATTGAAGTACTGCACAAAACAAAAGATGACATGTCATGAAATCCATATCCTTTTTTACTTTTATTAGAGTACTAATCCAAAGGAACACAAATTAAGCTCCAACCATTTGGAATGTGATTCGACTACTAGACAGAAAAGCAGTGAATTAGACTATGATCCTGGGTCTTGCATAAGAATCCGAAAATCAATATTAATTGACTAAATATCAACAGATTTCAATGGCAAATATACCTTGCTCCAGATGGATTGATCATTAGCAACAGAAGCTTCGACCAATTGTTCAAGTGCATCACGCTTGTTAGCAGAAGGACTTCCATCATTACCATTGCAAATCTACCCAAAAGTGGAAGATAAAGCAGCGTAAGAATACTGAAGGTTTTTATCCTCTAATTATTACAAAATTAGACTTGAGAAATCATCTAAAAGATTCTTCATGATGGAAGTAAAACGTGACAATATAGCACAACCTGCACAGATGGACCACACAAAAAAAAACTCACCAAGTGAAGAATATGAGGGATGCTTGGTCCAGTTTCTAGAGTTGAATTTATCTTGAGAGCAGAGAGTTTTAGGTGATTAGGCCCCAGATTAGATGAAGATCCATTATCAACTAGCTCATTGCCGTCCAGATGAGGAATGGAGGTCTGTTCTATGTTTGAGCTGTTATCCTTGCTTTCCAATGTCCATAATGCGTTATTCTCACTTGTGGAAAGGGCCCCAAATTTCAAATCCTTGGCTTTTGAAACAGTAGGATCAGTGTTGGAACCAGTTTCCACACCACAATAGAAGTCCTGAGTACCATCAGACAACTGACCAGTAGATCTAGTCATATAGGTTGGGTCTTGAAGAGAATTCCACTTTCTGATGCTATCAGAATCAACTGCACCCCCAGAATACCTTCCAAATAGATTACTCTTCGTTGAAGTGCCAATATATCCCTCTTCAGATGATGTTCCAACAACATCAGATGGATCATAAGAAGACTTGGAACGTTGTCTATCTTTCTTGCTCTGCAGGAAATTCATCAAATCCACTTCTATACGAGGCGTGCACTTTTTAAGAGCCCGTCTTAAGGAATTTTGTTCTTCAACCGATAAGCTAAGAATGAAATTGAGAACTGCTGTCGAGTCGAAGTGTGTGTACATTGATATAATGCACGAAATAGCTGCTTCTTTCAGTTTGGTATTCTTATCATGGATCAATGGTGTCAACTTAGCAAGCCATAACTTGAGGATGCCAATGTTAGCAGCACCTTCAGAATTTGAAGGATGCTTGTTAAATGAGCCAATTGCAAACTCAATTACTGCGAGTTTAGCCTTTGGGGACCGCTGTTCATCTAATGAACGGAGCAAAGCTGGCAAAAGGGTATCTATCCCATATGTCTTGCTAACTATTTCAAGGGTAGTTGAGCAGGGCTGCCTCACCAATTCCTTGGGATCAATTAACCGTGAGAAAACATGTGGCAAGATCCTCTCTACATAACTTTCAAATGGCTTTCTGCAAGCAGGAATAAGATCTGCAAGGGTTGAAAGTGCTGCCTGTGCGACCTTATGATGGGGATCATCAAGATGCTGGAAAAACAATTTCATAACCTTCTCAAAACTCTGAGTTGTTTCTTGAATACCTCTAGGGCCCTGCTGTAGCAAAGACCGGAGATAGCTGAATGCAGCAACCCTGGCTTTCCAATCTGAAGTAGAACTGAGACCCTCACTTAATGCATCATTTAGTGAAGCTGGACCATCCACATAACTAGATACATCTCCTAGTGGAAGCTGACTGTCATCAAAGCTCCTCCTCCTGCTAGCTGACATTCTTCCTGCTGCATTCTTTTTTAAGAGAGGACGTTGAAAATTGGGAACATGATTATTATGGGAGTCCCTAAAGTTAGTATCTCTGTACGGTGTCTCTAAGTATTGTCTGTCAGCACGAGAGTTCATAAACCGCCTAATGTCTCTCAGCTCAGCATTCTCTTCAACAAGTCCTCTATCCTGTGGTTTCTCAGAAGCTCTTCTTGCAGTGTAGGAGTTGAGTGCAGAAAAAGACTCATGATCCGTACTACTTCGATATGATGCTTTAGCTGAATCCTTTGAGGCCTGGATCTGAGTGATGATATCAGACAAAACCAACCCACCACTGCGATTATTTCCTTTAGTCATAGCAGATGGTGCATCAACCAGTAAAGCATTAGTAAGACTAGTTGATGCAGGAACAGCAAGAGGGAACGGTGGATCACGGGATGAGGGCGGGTCAACTCCTGCACTAGGGGACAATATAAGAACATTTTAAGCTGTTCAATAAAAACTCAAAAGTTACAGCAGTAGTTCAAATTTATTTTTAGCAGAATCATCAAACTGCATGCAGATGACCTTTCACTGTGTCAATTAATTAAACACATCAAGCTTTTCTTCATCAAATCAGTAATTACTTAAACACGTCAAGTTTCAGGATGCAGAAGAATAATGGAAGAGGAAACAATCACCTAGATCCAAACTAGAGGAGCGACTTTTCTCAGATACATCTAGCCCTTTGAGCAGGTTTTCTATAGCAGAAACTTTCTGTTTACTAGCATGAAGTACACTTTCCAGGCTACGTTCCACTCCCACAGGCTTTGCTTGTGGCAAAAGCAGCCCAGAGGACAAGGACGTCCCTGAAGACAAATTAGCACTTCTATCCATGGCAACTATTGCAGACGTTCCATAACCAGGTAGATGTGAAGAAGCAGATGTTTGAGAAGCAAGTGAGAACTGTGAACTCCTTTCTCGAACAGAGGGAGAAGCATGTCGTTTATGAATACCACCATCTTCCTCATTTATGATCTGCAAAAAAGATCAACTTTAGTCCACAACATCGCCTTTGAAGACTGATCTGGAGTATATGACAATCATCTGCCCTGGAAGGATGCTGGGAGCAATTTAGAAGAGAAAAGACAGTACCCTTTGGATAGCAGGATCAAAGGACATAAACAAACGCCTAGAACGTTCTGGCCAAGTTCTTGCAAACATTCTGTACAAAGTTCTTGCAGTTGATCGTACCTGTTGTTAAAGCTAAGTGATAAGAATTGCCAACAAGAGATCTTGAATCCAAGTTGAGGGGTTGGAGCGGGGGGAGATGGGTGATGCAAACGCAAGGTATACATGCAGATAATTATGCAAAATCTGTAAAAATATGATACTCAGAGTTTAACATGCATACCTCACTCATTGCATCAGCGACACAACATTTTATAAGGTCTTCATAAAGCTCAGCTGAACGTTGTACCTCAGATGCATCAGGCCAATGTTCAAGGATCAGAAGTGCATACTCACAGCATCTGTCGTCGAACATAATCAGAAGATGGAATAGCACTTTAGAGAATTAAATACAAAATCATTTTTTTATAACCGTGGTGTCCGGGTCATCTTACACGCGCCAGTGTTATCAAAGGCGAAAAGCGCAAAAAAGTTCTAAGGTCCTCTGGGGCTTTAAGCGCAAAGCGCAAATAAAGCATGGGCTTTAATGAAAAAGGGCACAACTGGAAAAAGTAAAAATATGCATATGTAGTCTAAGAACAATAATTATAAGCATGAATAATTATAAGCGCTCAACATGTTTTGAGCCTCGCTTTCAGGGCTTAAGCGCGCTTTAAGCGCGCCTTTGACAACACTGACGCACACCTCGACTAATTCCACGGGATACCTGCTACCTCCGAGGTACGAGGTAACTCTATCCACCAAGGATTGGACAGATGCAAGGAAATCACCTAGTGTTTTTGCCTCGGCTGAGATTTTGAATCTGAGACCTCATGGTTCTCAACCCACTTCATTGACCACTAGACCACGCCCTTAGGGGGAAATTAAATACAAAATTAAGATCTGTCAGCTAGAAGTAGTATCAAACCTTGCACGAAGTACTGCATTTCTGTCATTCTTTGCAGAATCAGCTATACGAGGAAGTGCTCGACCAACTTTGCAGTTGCGCAACATCTGAAACGGAAAGAAAAAAAAACAAATGATTGATAGATACTGTAGGTACGAGCCAGAAAACAGATTCAAGAATCACATAAAGCATTACCGTCTTTATGCAGTTATCAGCAGATTCTGCAATTACAAGAACAGTTATCACAACAAGCTTGAAAAGAACCTGAAGTTTCAATGAGGATGTCATAACCTTGCGCAAGTTAGAGCAAATGTAATCCTTTCTCCCTAATAAAATGATAAGAAGTATAAGCACATGGATAACTATATAACTTGTTCTCACCGGAATGAACATCTCAGCACATGCCTCAAAATCTCCCAACAGCTCTTTTGATAAGAAGTTCAGTAAGTGACATGCCTACCATTCACATAAGACATTGGATTAGCCTTCATGAGTGTCAGAACTCAGAACTTTTCTTGAATAAGTAAGAACTCGGAACATTGTAAATGTCGATGCACAGCAATCGAGAATGAAACGGAAGTTTAAGCTAATCCATCACCAATAAGCAAAAGCATGCAGTTAAACAAGCACCTTGCCTGCATGGTAAAAACATGCAGGTGTATATGCATCTATATTGACGACAAACTTGAGAAACTTACACAGTACTCACACTTCCTCTTTTTTTTCACCTTTCTACTCAATAACGACCAAAGTAGAATGTCTAGTTGTCTACTCCACTTTACTTTTAGTAGATCCTTTTTTCATTTTTCACTAAATTGGATTCCCAAATCTCACTGAAAATTTACTGCTCTTTCTATCTGAGACAAGAAATGTAGTCAAAATGCATTAGAGATGTAGCCCTTGCATGCCTAGGTGTAGCCCTAGCCCCTGGATAAATGCAACAAAAAAAGAAAGGGGAGAGTCTCTTTGACTCCTTTGAGGCCTCTGTAAATGTGCAAGTACTTCCTAGAACAGAACCGAAAGGATGGAACTAGACCGTAATCAGTGTTGGCCACATAGAGCAACACATGCTAAAAGAAACTTCAATACCATGTTCATATTGACTTAACAGTGCTCAATTAAATGAATCAGGTGTCATGCTCCGACTTATTTGATCATAACTGTTTAAAGAATTCCGGTTTCAAACTGAAAGGAGGAAAGGATTATATAAACCCAATTTTCAGCTTAGGTGCTCTCTGCATTTACATCAACTTGGAGGTGCTCTCTGCATAATTGAGATGTCTCACATATTAAACTAAGAATACAGCTTTTAGAGTATTATTTCTGAAAAACAAAAGAAGCAACTGAAATGACAAATTCCTGTGATATACAAGGCATTAGCAGGGTATTTCTTTTATTTTAGTAAGCCATTAGCGGCTATATTAATGGACTAGGATACGGGAATAGGAATATAAAATCAACTTCTACTAGGTTTTCATTGTATCTGACCGGTCCATAAGGAGGTAACCCCAACACATTTCAGACAGGTGCATCATGGTAAATGAAAGTCAGGCTAATAAATGTGGCACAGCATAGTTCAGTAAACTAGAAATAAAAAGAACAAGTATCTCATAGGACACATACTTATCAGAAAAAGTATCTCATAGGGCACATCTCAGAAAAAGTATCTCATAGGCAGACAAGCATAATATATGACAACATAAAGAAGTAGCCAGTGTTATGAAATCAAACCTGTTTTATTATGCTGGATCTCCTATCAGATAACTGTGTGCTCAAAGGGCCAACAAGTTGCTTTAGAAGTCCACGAAAACAAGGATAATCAGCTGCACCTAATGGAACAGAATAAAAGATAACATGCATTACCAACTGCACTGTCTTAAGCACATAAGGACACAACATAAGAAGATGCCACTATAAGAACATATGGAAGTGTTACACATTATTTCAACAAAGGAAGGGAAAGGTCATTATGTGAAAGTGCAAAGCTGGTAAAATACCTCCAATAACAAGCGCTTCAACTCTCTGCATAGCGGCAATACGGATAGACCAATCTTTCTCTGGTACAAGGGTAGAGGCAATATTCTCGAATTCCCTTATCAGTTCCTTTTCTGAATACACTTTAATTGGATCGACAGGCTTTTCTGTAATATCACTATCCCCTGCACAAGAACAGAGATCAAACTAAAATCATATTAACATGTAAAAACCATAGACTATCCGTTTGCATTATTTGATTGCATAATGTCTCCCTTCTGTACCATTTTTTTGCTCAAATTACCATTTGTCGCAAAAATTGCTCACAGACAAATAATCTCACAATCTCATAACAAGGAGAACATTTTTCTATGCTCATGAACCTGCTGCACATGCACATAGGACATGCAAACAACAAACAACAATGAAGGCCAACTAACGCAATCTTGGAAACATTTAGTCCAATAACATGGTAACTGGATGCTAAAATAAGCTTAACATGACATAAAAGTTTAATTGTGATAATAGTGCATATTCATACCTCCAAAGAGAGACACCTCTCTTGTTGAACGCTTTGCCTTAGGACTGCTTTTCTTGGAATTAAGGCTAGCAGATCTCACCTCACCAGCTGAATAATTACTTGAGATTCCATCAGTAGATCGACTTTTAGGCTCAATCTTCTCAAGTCTGGCATTAATATCTTTTAGCTGCAGTCAGTAAACAAGTCAAAACAAACATTGAGCAGACCTTTTGTTTACCACATCACCTTCTATTGACCAAGTAAAGCACAAGCTAAAGTTGGAAGAAAACTCAGTTTACCACGCACCATGCAGGATGTTCAAGAAAAGAATCTATTTGCTAGAATGAGATCATCTAAAGCTAAAGGCTTACCAACATGGAAGGAAGATGATGGCGCTGAAGCTCATCGCGGAACTGGGGTCCAATCTCTGAATACATCTCCTGCAAACAGGAAATATGGGGAGATAATTATCAAACAAAAGAAAATGGAAAGAGTAGTCTAGGTTTCTTTCTTTCGGGAAAGGAAGAGTAGCCTGTCAACGACATAATAATTGGTTTGTCAAGGCACTGAAGACTAATTAAGAAAAGCAGTTTGACCAAACACAGGAAATTGAAAAAAGATATCAGTTTAACTACCTCAATACATGATATGGCTGCTTCCCTTACTCCATGATTAGGATCATTCAACATTTGCAAAATCTGAAGATAGCAGCAAAGAAAAAGTATGTTTAGAACTTTTTTATTTACAAATGAAAACCCATCACATGTTTAGCTATATATGTGCTAGTAAATGATATTAAAATAAATATATCTATTAACATACAGGAGGAAGAATAGCCCGTTGAAGGGGCAGCTCGGTCGATGCAAAAAGACCAATTGCCGATGTAAGAGTACGAGCAAATTCTTCTCGAACTTTAAAGCTTTTGTGCATCCAAGCACAAGACCCAGCTCTCTCAACTATAATTGTTGGTGAAGAAACCTGGTGAGAATATAACAATCAACCAAATCATTTTCTAGTTTTTTACCCTCATCATACCAAAAAAATTAGAAAGAAGAGATTAAATGATTTGTGATGCTCGTGTAACTAACATACGAGTGACGAAATATCTAATACTCCCTTTGTCCCAATTTATGCGTCATGCTTCTCTTTTTAGTATGTCCCAAAAGAATGTCATACTTCCTTATTTAGGAACAATTTAACTTTAAACTTCTCATTTTACCTTAATGACATGATTTATGGCCACAAAAATTTCTCAATCTTGTTTTAAAACCACAAGTTTCAAAAGTATTTGTTCTTAAACTCCGTGCCTAATCAAACATCACCACATAAATTGGGATAGAGGGAGTAATTGTTTGAATTTCTCATTACTAAGTATATTTCACAGCAAAACTCGGAAGAAAAAAACAAATAAATAAATGAACTAGTGGTCCAAAAATCCCCTCAAGGTGTGAAGTACTTTAGTTGGAGAAAAAATGTATTTACACATACAAACATTTTTTTGATAAGGCACACATACATCCCGTCATCCCAGTAGTAGTAGTGGTGGTGGTGTCATTCTCGTATTTCCATATTGTTAGATTTTTATTACTATCTGACAATGTTGTGTTTTCGGTTTTACTATTATCTTGTTGTTGTTACTGCTTCTTTAACTTTTTCACTGTTGCATATCTTTTCTCTATACTGTTGTGATTATGCATGCTTGCTCTATCGGAAACAATCTCTTTACCTGCACAAGGTAGGGTAAGGTTACGTACTCTCTACGCTCCCCAGACCCCACTTGTGGAATTACATTGAGTATGTCATTATTGTTGTTGTATTACACATACAACATTAGTTTTTTCCATTATGAGAACATATATGATAATTTTGAAAAGGTTTGTTTGCATTACAGATCATTTAGAGTTGGTCATATGATCAAGAAAGGTGATATGTCTCAAAACTGGTAATTACTATGATATTAACATTCCAAATTATAGAAGAATCAACTGTAGTGTGTGGCACTGTTCTCTCTCTCTCTCTCTTTTCATCTGTGCACGTTTGTGCGAGCACATGGGAGGAATATGAATACACAACATATATCTTGAATTTTTTACTCTGATCATCTTAAATTAATTTTTCACTACTGAAAAGAATCAGTCATACAAATTTTTGTTTCTTTTTTTCTTAAAGTTCCCAATAACTAGGGAAGTTCCATATGGACAGTGAGGCTATTGAGATTGAAACTGTATTAATGCAGCTTAAATTGTGGTTCTTGAAAACTGCACTGTTCCTTGGAAACATACAATTTGTTTTCCTTTTTTGAACATAGAATCAGTTTTCTTATCCTTTTCCTCTTCACATATTTCAGCTCAACAACCATACCAACCACCAAATCTCTTTCCTCCCAACCAAGAAAAAAAGAATAGAACAAAACAAAGAAATTCCAAGGCAGCAATTGAACCAACCCCTATTAATTAAATGTCTATGTAATATGACTCAATTGCAAATAGACCCCTGTATTTCAATACCATACACTTAAGCCCCTCATATAATATAAACATACACAAATTAACATCCATTCACAAAAGAAAGTTCGCCAAAAAAGAAATTCCAACCATCATTTGAACCCACCCTTATTAATTACTCCCTCTGATTCAACTTATGTGGCAGATTTTTTTTTGTCTATCAAAAACAATGACACTTTTCTATATTTAAAAATAATATGCTCATTTTACCCTTAATGAGATAATTTGTGACCACACAAATTTTTAATATCTTTCTTCCTTAAACTCCGTGCTCCATCAAAAAGCACCACATAAATTAGGACGGAGGGAATAGTAAATTACTCTAAACAACCTTGTAACATTATAATTTATACAATTGCATATAAACTCCTTAATTTCAATATCACACTCAAATTAACATCAATTAAGCCAAAAACAAAACTTTCACCTCAATAAAACCAAAAAGAAGATCAAATTCCAGTTAACAAACAGACTATCTTTTGATACACTTCTTAGTTAAAGAACATGACAAAAATCACTAAATCAATTCCTCATCTTTGGGATAAGTTTAAGACAGTCCCTTAAGTATATACTCTTCAGCTTAAATTTAACTTGCAGATACACTCCTGTCTTTCAATATACACAAATTAAAATCAATTAAGGCAAAAACAGAACTTTCACCTCAATAAAAGAAAAAAGAACAACACATTTCTATATTTAGAAACAATTTAACTTTGAACATCCTATTTTAACCTTAATGAGAATGTTTTTATAGCCACACGACTCTTCGTTAAAGAACATGACAAAATCTTCCTTATCTTTGGGGGAGGTTTAAAATAGTCCCTTAAGTATACACTCTTGAGCACTTTTGGTCTCCTTCAAATATTTAACCTCAATTCAGCCAAAAAACAAAACTTTCACCTCAATATTTGAAAATAATATAACTTTAAACTTCTTATTTTACCCTTAATTAGAAAGTTTTGTAGCCACGCAAATGTTATGCCATGTTTAAGACCACAAGTTTCAAAAATCTTTCTTTCTTTCTTAAACTCGATGCTGAGTCAAACGGACATAAATTGGAATGAATAAGTAGTAAATTACTCTAAACAATCCCCAAACATTACACAATTTCATATACACTCCGGTATTTTAAAAATATACACAAATTAACATAAATTCAGCCACAAAAAAGGGATCTTTACACAGATAGTATGTCAGATTCATCGTTTACTTTTTCTAGTGCGTATACATGAATTATACATACACTGATTATATATGGTTATACACATATTATACATGAATTATACATACATTACACATTTGCCGGCTATTTTTAGTTTAAGCGGTTGGATGAGCTATTAGAGCTAATTCCTCAGAAGAAAAAAAACTCTACCTCAATAAATTCGAATAAAGTTAAGAAAGGTAAAAACAAAACAAAAAATTGATCAAAATTCCAGTAATGCAACCATGCGAAATGCAATTACCTCCATTAAGGTAAGCAATAACCGCCTCGCGGCATCTCTAACGGGCTGTTTTGCATCGCCCAATCGTTCGACAACAGCTGGCAAGAGCGCATTGAAGTGAAGCTTGAAGTATTCACCGGAGAGAACAGCAGCAGACGCAAGCGACATAAGTGCGCCTTGAGAAACCCTAAAATTGTTGTTTTTTAAGAGATCTAAGCAGACGTCGACGAGCGAGGTGACTTCGGAAGACGATAGGGTTTTTCGCGAAGCTTCTAGAAGTGTGTGGAGATGTTCTACTCCCGCCATTCGAGACTTCGTGTCCTTTGCACGCGCCAACTCCAGCGCCGCCTCCATCTGGAGAAGGCTTTTCTCGGGGCTCCGATCTGGTTAAACGGGTCAGATCTGTGAAGGAATTGAAAATGGTGGATTGAGAAAGTGTGCAGACAGTGAGAAAGAAAATGGAAAGAAGAGTAAAATGAGTTAGCAACAGAAGTGGTAAGAAAATTTAACACACAGGGTGGGGTTTAGGGGAGGAGTGGGTTAAGTGGGGGACTGGGTGTTGCTAGATTAACGGAAGATAAGATATTAATTTACTCCATATAATATCTATGGATCTGTCATATGTGGCTTTGGAATGTGTTTTATTTGTTGCTGTTACTTACTAAATAAAAGTAATTTAGTAAAATATAAATAAGAAATAGAGATAGAAAGAAGGAGTATATTTTTTTTTGTGTGTGTCTTTCCACATTTACATAGTCTTTTATAAGCATAAAAAATGAAGATTAGTATAATAAAATAGTGTAAGGAATAGACATAAAGTATGAAAATCTATCCACAAACTATTCATACATGTACTTCATCCGCATACTATTTATAATACTTCCCCTAGGATGGCCATGTAAAAAAAATATGCATCATTAAGAGCTTAATAGGAAAAAATATTGGAGTTATTTGTAATACGCATTACTTGTTGCATCATTAAAAATCTTACCAAGAAAATCCAATGGGACAAAAGCTTAGTTAAGAAAAAAAAAAGTACAGCGCGTATTTTTACTCCCTCTGATTAAAATATCACTTAAGGTCTCAGAGAAGCCACATTCTAATCTTGTATATTAACTTCTCAAATGTTGAGGTTGGTAATGCCTTAGTAAACAGATTCGCCAAATTATTACTTGTTGAACATTTATTTCACCATTCTTTTGAAGATCATGAGTGAAGAAGAATTTTGGTGAAATATATTTTGTTCTGTCTCCTTTAATGTATCAACATTTTAGTTGAGCTATACATGCAACATTGTCTTCATACAATGTTGTTGGAATATTTCCTCTCAAAGAAAGACCACATGTTTCCTGAATGTGTTGAGTTATTGATCTCAACCAAACGCATTCTCGACTTGCTTCATGAATGGCTATTATCTCTGCATGATTTGAAGAAGTAGCAACCGTAATCTGTTTCGTTGAACGTCATGATATGGTTGTACCTCTACATGTAAATAAGTAGCATGTTTGAGATCGAGCTTTATGTGATCAGATAAATATCCACGTCTGCATAACCAACTAATGCTGACTTGGATTCATTTGAATAGAATAAACCCATATCAATGATCCCTTGCAAGTATCTAAATATATGCTTAATACCATTCCAGTGTCTTTGTGTTAGGGAAAAACTAAATCTTGCTAACAAGCTTGCTAAGAAAGCTATATCTAGTCGAGAATTGTTGGAAAGATACATTAACGCCCAAATTGCACTAAGATTTGGTATTTCGGCACCAATAAGCTCTTCATCATTTTTATGAGTTCAGAATGGATATTTATTTATATCAAGTGTTCTTACAACCATCGGGCTATTCAATGGATGCGTTTTATCCATATAGAATCGCTTTACGATCTTTTCGGTGTATGTTGACTGATGAACAAAAATTTCATCTTTCATATACTCAATTTATAGACCAGGACAGAATCTCGTCTTTCCAAGTCTTTCATTTCAAATTCTTTGTTCAAACAATCTACAACGTTTGGAAGCTCCCCACGAGTTCCAATGATATTTAAATCATCAACATATACAGTAATTATAACAAATTCAAATCCAGAGACCTTTTTATAAAGACATAAGGACAAATTGGATCATTCTTATACACTTCTTTCAACAGGTACTCACTCAGGCGATTATATCACATGCGCCCTTATCGTTTCAATCTGTATAAGGATTTCTGAAGCGTTATTGAACAAGTTTCTCGAAAACTTTTATATGCTTCGGGCACTTTAAATCCTTCAGGGGTTTTCATAAAAAAATTATTGTCTAATGAGCTATACAAATAAGATGTGACAACATCTATTAGACGCATATCAAGTTTTTCATACACTGCCAGATTTATAAGATACCTGAATGTGATATCATTCACCACAAGAGAATATATCTCCATATAATCAATGTTAGGTCTTTGCGAAAATTTTTGTGCCACAAGTCGCGCTTTAAATCTAACGACTTCATTTTTATCATTTCGTATTCGCACAAAAACTCATTTGTACCTCACTGCTTTATACCTTCGGGTGTTCGAACTATAGGTCCAAAGACTTCATGTTTTTCAAGTGAAGTTAATTCTGATAGCATCTTTCCATTTTGGCCAATCGTTTATCTGTCTATATTCATCGACAAATTTTGGTTCAAGATCCGCATCTTGTTGTATTATTTCAACAGCAATATTATAAACAAAAACGTTACCAACAACAATATTATTTTGGTTTCATCTTTTTCCCGTTAAGACATAACTTATTGAGATCTCTTCATTCTTACTATTTTCAGGTACCTGGACCTCCTCTGAAGTCTTATCATTTGTTATGTCTCGGGACTCTTCTTGAGCCACTACCTCCGTATTATGATCACTTTGATCATCTGCTCCTTTTCTTCTTCGAGGATTTTTATCTTTAGAACTGATTGGTCTACCAAGTTTCAAGCGCGGCTTAGACTAGTTTGCTTTAATTGATTGTCCTTCCGGAATATCAACTCGAATTGGAGCACTAGCAGCTGGAATATATGACTTAGTCACCCTTGGTAGGTCAGTGAATACATCTAGCAGTTGATTTGTAATAATTTGCAAATGAATTATCTTTTGAACCTCTTGTTCACATTAATTTGTTCAAGGATCTAAATGAGATAGTGATAATGCATTCCAATCTCATTGTTCAGTTGCTTATTTTCTCTCCTTAATGTTGGGTATACTGATTCATCAAAAGGGCAATCAAAAAATCTTGCCGTAAATAAATCTCCAGTCATAGGCTCCGGATATTTTATAATAGAAGGAGATTCATACCCAACATATATCTTCAACCTTTTTTAGGGACCCATCTTTATGTGTTGTGGTGGAGCAATTGGAATATATATCGAATAACCAAAGAATCTAAGATGCGAAATATTTAGCTCCTGACCAAAAGCCAATTGTATTGGGGAGACTTTATGATAACTTATGGGCGTTATCCGCACAAGTGTTGCTGCATGCAAAATAGCATGACCCCATACTAAAGTGGAAAATTTTGTTCTTATAAGCATTGGTCTAACAATTAATTGGAGGTGTTTATCAATGATTCCACTTGACCATTTTGAGTATGAACATGAGTAACCAGATACTCAATTATTATCCTAGTTGATATATAACAATCATTAAAGGCCTGGGATATAAAATAACTAGCATTATCAAGACGAATTTTCTTAATTGCATTATCTAAAAATTATGCTCTTAGCTTTATTATTTGAACCAACAATCTCGCAAATGCTATATTGCGAGTTGATAATAAACACACATGTGACCATCTTGTAGAGACATCTACCAAAATCATGCAATATCTGAATAGTCCACATGGACGGTGAATGGACCCATATATATCACCATGTATATGTTCCAAAAATGCAGGAGATTCCATCCTAACTTTAATCGTTAATGGTCTAATAATTAATTTGCCTTGAGAACATGCAACACAAGAAAATTCCTTAAATTAAAGAATCTTCTGGTTCTTCATTGAATGTCCATGTGAATTCTCAATTATTTTACGCATCATAGTAGAACCAGGATGGCCCAACTGGTCATGCCAAATAATAAAATTATCTTGATTGGTAAATTTCTCGTTTATTACGGCATGTGTTCTAATCCTGCTAATACTTGTGTAATATAAGGCGGAGGAAAGAGTAGGTAACATTTCAAGCACATATTTTTTATCAGATTTTATTGTAGTAATATGAAGATATTCAATCTTTTTCATCATTTGTAGTCTCAATATGGTATCCATTTTGGCGAATATTTTTAAAACTTAATAAGTTTCTTTGAGATTTACTACAATATAGTGCTTCATCAATAGCCAAATTTGTTCCTCTTGGCAGTTATAAATTGGCTCTTCCAGAACCTTCAATTAATTTTGTACTACTAGATATTGTATTAACATTGACTTCTTTTATTACCAAATAAGAGCAATATTTCTTATCTCTTAAAATAGTTTATGTTGTAGCACTATTCAGAAGACATATATCGTCTTTATTAATCTTGAGTCCAATTGAAGACTGATTTTTTTTAAATATTTTTCATAAAAAAAAGCAAAAAGTACATCATAAGAAATATGAAAGACTAACAGAAAAAAGAACATTAAGAAATATATTAGGAATGTAGAAACTAGCAACACGTGATGCATTAGGAAATACACTTAAGAAAAATAAACTAGTTGCAAACATAAAATGAAAAATAACAACTTTTAGTATAGCCTCATTCCCCAGGATGATTAGTTCTTCAACAATATCCTCAAAGAAGTCTCCAGCTTCTAAATGAGTAATATTTGCAAGGCCTCCAAACTCATCATCTTTATATGTAAGATGTGCCTTAGAATCATATTTGTTTGAGAGACCTGCTTCATCATCATTATTTTGAAAGGTCAAATGTGCCTCCACATTATTTTCTTTCTTTCTGAGGGAGGCTTGATAAAGTTTGACAAAATAATTTGGCGTACGACAAATACGTGGCCAATGATCTTTCATGGCACATCAGTGACACATATTAATTTTATCTTTTGAAGGATTAATTTAAGAAATCTTATTGTTCTTATGTTTATTTCTTTCCCTGCCACATTCACGTCTACGACCATGTCCACGACCACGGTAATTATTTTGTTTTCTTTCAAACTTATCATATGATGCTACAACATTCACTTCTCGGAATGGAGCTAATCCAGTGGGATGTGCTTCATGATTTTTCATTAATAGAGTATTATTTTGTCTGCCACAAGTAGGCATGTGATTAACTCAGAATATTTCTTAAAACCCTTCTCACGGTATTGTTGTTGTAGCACTACATTTGAAGCGTGAAAAATAAAAAATATTTTTTTCAATAAGTCCTCATCTGTGATAGTGTCTTCACATAATTTTAACAAAGAACTTACTTTGAAAATAGCAGAATTATACTCACTTACGGTTTCAAAATCTTGCAATCTTAAATGTATCCACTCGTATCGAGCTTTTGGTAATACTGTAAGTTTTAAGTGGTCATATCGGTCCTTCAAGTTATTGCATAATTCAAGTGAATCTTTTACGGATAAATATTCAGTTTTTAACCCTTCGTGTAGATGATGACGAAGGAAAATCATGGCCTTCACTTTATCCTGATTTGATGCTTCATTTCCTTGTATAATAGTATTACTGAGACGTTTAGCGTCAAGGTAAATTTCATCATCAAGGACCTATGATAAATAGTTCTTTCAGGTGATGTCAAGTGACACAAATTCAAGTTTTGATAAATTTAATATAGTGAAAACAATCATAAAAGATAAATAAGTTAGAAAAATAATTATGTTAATAAACAATTAATGAAACAAAACGATTAAGGGAAAATAAAAATAAAAATAGAGCTATATCATGTAAACAACCTACTATTTCATTTTATTCTGGCCGTAAGGTGGAAACAACATACTGTTTCATTTCACTTTATAGTATTGATATGTGTGTGTGTTATAGAATTGAACGTGACTAACATTATTTATATGTTCCAATCCAATAAATATAAAGTAATTAAACCAATGTAAAATTATTACTTGTTACTTCATTTCTCATAGTTCTTCAAAATGCCTAAAAGATATGTTTTAATCGAGGAAGTCCATAAATATTATAAGTAGTTTTATTAGTGGGTAGCTAGTATGATGACTTTAAGGCCATCTAAGAGTTGAGCACCGAAGGAAATAGTTATGTTATCACTGTAATGTACTTAAATTATTTGAGATGCCCAAGCGCATAGGTAATCTGCAAACAATAAGCATATGATATGTACTGCCATAAACAAAATGAATATAATGATACATACTATGACTCAACTTAGCGGGAATAAGAATGAAATTAGAGGTTCGTGCTGATAATATGTTATGAAATAAAAATAATTTAATAAAATATAAATAAGAAACAGAGTTAGAAAGAAGGAGTATTTCACTTCTTTTTGGTGTCTTTCCACTACCATTTACATAGCCTTTTATAGGCATATAAAAAGTGAAGACTACTCTAGTAAAATAATGTAAGGGATGGACATAAAGTATGAAAATCCATCCACAAACTATTCATACATGGACTTCATCCACATACTATTTACAACACTTCTTTTAATTTTTCCAAGAAAAAAGTTTACTGAAAATTGAACCTTACACTTGTTATATGAGAAACTCAAACCAATACTATTAGGGTTCGTTTGAACTCAACACCTTCTAATACTGCTAGCACACCCCCTTGTATCTCAAGTCTCAACTAGTTTTTTGTCTTTGGTTCCGACTGTGGAAACAGGCAGGGATGGCAATCTTCCTTGATGTTACTGTTGATCCACCCTAAGTAGCTCCCTTTATGTAATAAGTTTTTGTTTGAATGAAATCTAGTAGTTTATTACAAAAAAAAAATGGTTCGTTTGGTTGGGAAACAAGTTATTTCAGAATTATTCAAACCTTTCTATAGGGATAAAAATAACACTATAATTTCGAGATAATTAATCCAGAGATTAGTTACACCGTAATTTTATCCCAACCAAACGTGTGATAAATTTATTTCAAATCTAATCCTGAGATTCATTATCCCTTATCCCTCATACCAAACGAGCCCTTAGGGTCATTTAGTTATGGAAAAGTTACGCGATTCACCACATATATACACTATATATATCATTCATACCTCTATTTTTAAAAAGTTACCATTTATAGCTACACTTGAATTTTTTAGTCAATGCACATGTAGTACTGAGACAATAGATCAATTATTTTGAACTGAAATAAGAGAGCAACAAGCTCTCGTAGCTCAATTGATTAGAGCGCACGCTTAGCAAGCGGAGGTCTTGAGTTCAATTCTCAATGAGAGCATTCTATATTTCTGTATTTCGCCTTGGTTGTATTCGCTGCACAAAAAGATATAGTCGAAACAAGTTGTATCATTTGTATAATTGAATATTTGTATCATTCTAATCGTTGTGCGAAGGAATGGTAATAATTGAACAATAGCTACATATGGCAATTAGGCTTTAAACTATAGAGTTTTATGAAATTTTCTCTTTAATTATTGGTATAAGAATATTAATTTCAGATACAATTTAAAATTATATTTATTGCATGTTTGGTTATTTATCCCACAATTGAACCAAACAACCTCTTAGGTTGTAAGTCTTGGCGATTGTAAGCTGAATCGGATCTTGAAAGAATAAAAAATAAAGTATTGAGTGGGAATTAATTCATGTTCCTCTAGGTAAATAACTTAGCATTCAATCAAGTGCAACATTTAGTCTCTTTGGAGCACCGATGCTAGCCGATAATATTAGATCAATTCTAGAAAATATATACATAAAATACCTAATTTGGCGAAAAGACCTTGGGTTCATGTGCCCTATATATTGGGCTATAAATCCGCCCCTCATTGTGAGGTGTGTTTACTTAGCTTTCTTTGATTGATTGTATAAGGATAATTAATCCCAGCATAAAATCTCGAACGAAGCAAGCCCCTTCATCTCCCATGTATAAAGTTCATTCGATGTAGTATGAATTATTGATCCTACACTTACGAGTTATAATGATCATCATCGTACTATATTATAAGTGTGAAGCTCCAAAGTTGAAATTGAATTACCAAAATGACCATCAAAAGTTGAAAGACTATTTTACCCTTCTTTTACATACTATAATTCCTATACTAATTATGTACCAAAAAGTAAAATTCACATTCTAATAAATAATAAATATTTATAGAAGTAAATTAAATTATTCTTTCAAAACTGATGCATGAAGTGGAGGTAGGATGGATGAAGTGGAGGTTAGCATCTGGAGTCCTGTGCGATAAGAGAGTGCCACCGATACTCAAAGGTAAGTTTTATAAAGTGGTGGTTAGACCGGCCATGATGTATGGGGCTGAGTGTTGGCCCGTTAAGAACTCACATATCCGGAAGATAAAAGTAGCAGAAATGAGGATGTTGCGATGGATGTGCGGATACACTAAGATAGATAAGATTAGGAATGATGATATTCGGGAGAAGGTGCATGTGGCTCCTATTGATGACAAGATGCGGGAAGCGAGGCTTAGATGGTTCGGACATGTTTAGAGGAGAAGCCTAGATGCTCCGGTACGGAGGTGTGAGCAGCTGGTTGTGGAGGGCACCAGAAGAGGTAGAGGGCGGCCTAAGAAGTATTGGGGAGAGGTGATCAGGCAGGATATGGCGAGACTCCAGATTTCCGAGGACATGACACTAGATAGGAAGATGTGGAGGTCAAGTATTAGGGTTGTAGGTTAGGAGGTAGTTGAGTCGTGCCTTACTTCGTACTATTGTGGGACTAGTCATGTAGGGTTTTTGTCTGAGATAGCTAGTGGCAATGTTGTAGATTATTATTTCGCTTTTCAATGCATGTCTTATTTACTAGCTATCACTTTTTCTTTGCATCTTTCTTCTAGATTTCATGGTGTTCCTATTGTTCTTATGATTGTTGTGGTGATACTAATATTTACTAATATTGTCTCCCTTTGTTTTGCATCCTTCTTCTTGATTTCATGGTGTTTCTATTTATCATATGATTGTTGTTGTGATACTAATATTGTCTCCTTTTTGTCCTTTTGTATTTTTGTATTTTTGTTTCTTTTTGAGGCGATGGTCTTTCGAAAACAGCCTCTCTACCCCGTCGGGTAGGGGTAAGGTCTGCGTACACACTACCCTCCCCAGACCCCATTAGTGGGATTTTACTGGGATGTTGTTGTTGTTTCAAAACTGATGCAAACTTCTCTTCATTTCTCCCAAAGCGTGAATAATTTGAGAAAGTGATCAATTCTTTATCATAAATAACATCTACCATGATAGTATTGTTGGGTCTCCACAGTTACCGATCATTATTATGCTCTTTAAAACTAATAAAATCTTTACAAATACTCAAGTAATTTGAAATTGTGGGCAAATGAAGATAATGTTGCTTTAATATTCATGTTCTGTTTTTTGGCAATTCTTAGAAGGCTACTAGAAAAGCATTTTATCCTTTTTCTCATTGTTTCGTTTTTCCTCATTTACTTACAGTTTATCTTATTTGATTTTTTTTTGTCTAAACACATTACACAATTTAAGGAGGAAGATAAAAAGACTTTTGTTTCCAAAACTTTTCATGTTCCAAAAACTATTAATTTTATTGAAACTCTTTAATTTTCTCATATAAATGAAGGATCATGGTAGTCTTAGCTGCAAACGTTATTAGGACATTGAATAATATTAGACAAATTGTAGGGAAAGGTAAAGCCTTGAGCCTGGATCCTACCTTCGAAAATGGGGTTTCAAAATCGTAAACCTGAAAATTTCATTTAATTTATTTAAGCAATCGGTTGTGGAGCCTTAATTTGCTTCTATTATTTATTCCTTCTGTTTTGCAGGTTGCAGAGCTTCTTCTTCTGTTTGCTTGCTTCTTCCTTCTTCCTTTTTGCCCTTCTATTTATGAATCATTTCATTTGATTATTGTTTGTTCCCTAACTTCTGTTATTGTTTGTTCCCTTCTTCTTTTTTCTGTAGGATTTAACTGGCTGGCCATACAATTCTATGTTAATAATTTGTAAATATGACCATGCATGTTTACAAAGTCCTTAATTTATTGACGTAGACTTAGTTTTCATACGTTAGCGATTGTCACGGTCATGTCCTTTTCTGTTGAGCTAGAAGCAGAAATGGATTGTTGCATCCAGGTATTTTGTTTCAATTAGTTTTAAACTAAAGGTTGTTGATATACATTTACTTGTCTGGTACAATTTTCCAATTGTGATTGTTGCTATTTTCAATCTTATCCTGATAGTTTCATTTTGCTCCTGTTGGTTAATGTTGTAATTGACTTGCATTGCACATATTTTACTGATGTGGGAGAAGGGGTATCGGAAATTGAGTGTTTGGTGTAAAATGTTTGGGCGTGCAATTCTATTAAAGTTATTTAGATTATATGAAAAGTGAGAACTTTGTGGATTCTTAATTTTGTATGATCTTCTATTCTTTCGCATTGTTCTTTAATATGGAACAATTCCTATCTCATTATTTTTCTTTTCTCTCATTTATTTCCTTTGGTTGGTTTAGCTATAAAATTTGGTGTCTTTAAGATTTGTACTACAATATAGCTAAAACTAAAAAAGATTACATTCTCATAGTGTTAAAGTTTTACGAAATAGTAATACATAAAGCAATCAACAACTGACATACAAAAAATGAAACATAAGAATTCTACGATGCCATATTCACTCCATTAATTAATTGCATTTGATTCTTTTTAAATGTTATGATTACGATTTATTATTTGTAATGGGGATATCATGGAGTTTCGAATTTCACAAATATAACTCCATAACAATGGCTATTTTTTAATTATAAAGGTTGAAAAGTAACTATTTTTGAATTTTGCTTCAATATATTGCAATGTATATATATCTTAATATGAGCTTTAAGCTTCATGGCGACTGATAGCTGATTTGTAAGATTAAAAGAAGAAGAAAAAACTTCAGATTATATACTCTTTAGCTTTCTTTCTCTTTCTCTGAATTAGTGTTTGTCTATCTCGTCATGGAACACACCGAGAATGTTATCTATAGAAAAATATTAGGTGCAAAATGATCATATTACATATTTGCACCTTATAACACAAAAATTGAGTTCATTTAACATTATGCATATCTAGCTAATTTTAATTGTACAAGTAGAGTTCAATAATCAAGTCATTTAAATAGGAGCCTTCAAAATATTATGTTACTTATTATACACATGTTTTATTATTAGCTATACTATTTTTAAAAAGTCTGTATTATTGCCATGGAACACACGGGCATCGCAAGTATGAAGACTTTTAGTTAAAATTATTTTACTAAAATATTCTTCAAAAACTGAATGACAATATTACCCTCTTAATTTACTCGTTGAATCCCATTAAAATATCCCATTACTCCTTTTTCTCCCTCCTATTCTTCCCACGAAATGTGAGAAAAAATTGCTCATAAATTAGGACTTTAATTACTTTACCTTCTACTTAAATGTATGAAACTTCATTTTGTGTGTTAGTAATTAAATTTTCTATTTAATTAGGGTCCTATTAAATGGGGATATCATGGCTGCCTTGAACATGGGAATTGAAAATCTAGAACCACCAAAACGTTTTTACCTCCTAGATTAACTTAAGCTACATAGTGGTGTGAGAAAACTTTTGGGTTTTTCTGTCATCATCCTTTCTCCATCTGCTCCAATTAATGGACATCTATTATCACAATAATTTGCTAATTAATTATTGTATATATTGAAGAATATTACCAATCTATAAGCTTATATAAGAGTTATAAATCAGCAGTATGCGTATAACCATCACCATTAGAAAAAAACAACACAGAAAAGTTGCAGATTTATAGGTAAGTCTATTTTTCTTCTTCGTTAGTTCTTATGGGTATTCATGAAACTGTATACTCTTGGTTATTCAAATTCTTAGGAAGCAACACTTAGCTGTTATTAATCAATAAATAATTAGAAAATTAAGTTCTTCTACTGAGATTAAAATGAAAAAAAGCGTGACTGAGAAGCTGCATAAACGCCGCATCATCACTGAAGACGATAGCATCCTTTTCCTTCCCAAAGACCAATGAGGAATTAAGAATGAGGACGTTTTGCTTTTGAGGTATAGTATAGTTGGAACTACTTTGGGCTATATATGTAAGACTACTTTCTTTCTTTCCAAATATTTGTTGCCTATGACAATCGATATTGGAACTACTAATAAATTGTTTTATTTCTTATGAAGTACAATAATATCAAACTCCTAAGATGTACTATATTTCATAATACAATTATATTTATACAATTTAACGATTTTTGTTTTTGTCGAATTCAAAGATTAAATTGACATTGATCTACTAGCTATCCTACAGCTTTTAAAAAGAAAGCAAAAACTTTAAAACGTGAAACATTTGCAACCATAACCGATATTTGAATTATATATTGTTACATTTAAAAACAAGAATTATGCACTTGATATATTATAGGAATTGCATAATTGAAGTCATTCGAATATTGCTTTTAAATTACATTTGATAACAATATTTCAGTATGAGAGCTTGTATTTTTTAGTTTAAACTTTTGTGCAACTAATCGCACACTTATTATAATATTTTTAAAATATTTGTATCAATTAGCATAGAATACATGTGCAACGCACGTGCCTGAGAACTAGTACTTTGAAAAGTGTGTGATCATTAAGTGAAAGATGCTAGCCAAATAATTAGAGATGTCCAATTATTGAAACTTCGTTTGATTTTCATAGGCGAATCAAAAGCTAAGTAGTGGAATTCTAAAGTAGTACTGAAGTTTAAGCTTGTGTTTTTCATTCTTCTTTGCCTTGTTCATTCCACCTTATTTGTTGGACGGAGGATACGAATTTAATAACTTTGGTTTTCCGAGTTAACTAAAAATTTCAATGGATACTAATTTTCTGAGAACACATAAATATTATTTTTATAAAAAAGAAAAACACAGAGGGATAGAAGATGGCGTGGAAATAGCCCTTTGTTATGGGAGCTAGTTATTATGAGTATGTAGCAAAGATGACAAAAACTGTCTAACTGCAACACTGATTAATAGTTTTACCAAAAACTAACAAATAGCTAGAGAATATGTTTGTGTGTTAAATGGATCTGTCATTGCCAGATTGCCTTATCTTACAGTTTAACTATCTTTAGGGGATTAATGAAATCATTCAAGTTGTCTTACTGTCACTTTTGTTTCATCATTCTGTCCCCACTCCTCCAAACAAAACAATTTTTCTTTTGTTTTTCACCTGGTATTTGGTGGTATTCCATATCTGTTTTGAAACTGGGATTAATTTGGATTTATACCACGCAAGGAATTTTTTTTTTTTTTTTGATAAGAGGGAGATCCGCAGCCGCTACACTTGGTGCCCACTTGGGTAAACCCCCCTGTGTAATAGCCTGCAAACCACACAGGGGAGGTAAACCGCACTAGGTAAGCCATGTGCGACATGCTCAACCCAGAAGACATTGAGGGGGATTCGATCCCAGGTCATCCGAATGGGTGACCGCCCTCCAAACCTATTGGGCAACCCCGAAGGATTTTACCACGCAAGAAATATTAAAAAGAGGAAAACACTCACTGTCAGGATATTTTTCGTTCCAGTGTTCGAATACCAGATATCTAATTAAACTTGAATAAATCATATCCATTCTACTATAATTTTTGGTTATTTTTCCAAAAAAGTTTAAATATTACAGAATTAACTAGGTTGAGCTTTACAGGTTGGCAAATTGGTTGGTGCTGTCTCCAAAAGAGTCAGGCTTAAGCATCAATGAACACAAATGACTTTAATTCTTATCACAAATATAAGCAAGAAAACCTGGATTCTAACATTAAAATAAAAAGTTCCAACTAACGGATGATATTTATGTAATGACAGTGTAAAATCAAGTTATTTAAAAAATTAACTTCACCTAGTTTTGTATATCTCATATGAGAAATAGATAACCTGCTTTAATTGGTTAATTAAACTATATCAGACTTATTTTCTCCGACGTTTGGTGCGCGAACTAAATTATCCCTAAATTATAATCCTGGGATTATAATCCCTGGACTAATTTATTCCACCTGGGAGGTGGGTAAAATAATCCTAATTTTTATGGGATAAGGTGAGATAAGGTAGGATATCCGGGATTAAGTCTAAGATTATATTTATAAATTATTTGGTTGACGGTATAGATCATGAGATAAATTGATCATGAGATAAATTTATACAGTCTACCAAACACATTATAAATTTAATCCCACATTGTATCCCACCTTATCTTGCCAAACGACCCCTTATAGGAACTGAAACCAATGTAATGTAATGCCAGCAAATTAACTTCTTGAAAACAGCCTATACCTAGCAGATACTAAGAGTGTGTTTGGTATAACAATTTTCCTATGTTAGGTTGGCTAAGTTGTTTTGGAAACATTTTCCTCCTGAACTCATTTTCCCTATCAAAAAAAAGGAAAAATATTTTTCAAAACTCTTTTTTAACCTTCCCCACCCCCATCCCTAACCCACCC